ACATAGAAGTACTTAAAAAAAAAACTGCTCCAAAAACCCTAACCTTAACCCGGGACGCCGACGCCGAGGGTATTACATAAGCTCCCCCAACTTCGTTGAGGTGAGCTAAAAAGGTCTTTGAGGAGGCTTAAGTTCATTTATCGGTGCTTTATAACGTAACATTTATTTCAACATTGTTAATGTAAGAATTTTTCACTGACACGGACATTGCACAGGTACTTGACTTTTTTAACCTTTCTTTTCAGTCTTTTCAGTTTTCAAACTTTTCATAATTGAAAAAAATAAAGTCTGGGAAATTTTTTACCATATACATGTACCCCCCGCTCGAAAATGGGAGGGTATATAGTGATTGGGATGTCCGTCCGTTTGTACGTTGGTCTGTTACGTTTTGGGATACCCATCTCTTATCCGTTACATTGTGTCATTGCACCTTCTATTTCACTTTTCGATCATAAACATATTTTGGATTCCTCAGAGCAAAATATGGACACGACCATTCTAATACTGAAGGGTATAACTCACATCCACAACTCCTCCTTTAATATTTTCACAGATTTTTTACATAATGCCATTGGGCACCCATCACTTTACTTTTTGAAAATCTGGTCTCCCAGATCAAAACTTGGACTTTGCCATTATAACCACATGGAAGGCGGGGGTATCATTTAGTAAGCTCATTGCTCAAAGTACCTTTAGTTTATGAAAAGGAAAGTTAAAAACGTCTTTTTCTATAATAATGAAGGGTACCCATCTCTAATACCACTGAATAAAATCTAATTATATCTTTGCACATTCTTTAGTACATAAATGCTGTGCATCTCCTATTTTTTTTACTTTTTGATCTGACTCTTATTTCAGGTCTCCCAGAGCAAAATATGGACTTTGCCATTTTAATGATATGGGACGCGGGGTATCATTTAGTGAGCTCTTGGTTCACAGTACCTCTAGTTTATTATGCTTCTGCTTAATGAGTATTACTAAAGTTATTATACTAAAGTTTATCATTATCTGATTACGTCGAATGAACAAAATTTCCTAATCTTCAACAGGGTATCTGTCTTTATAATGATTGTATAATCAAATGTTCTTCACAGGAATAGCTATTTTTATTACGTCGACGTAATACTGAAAAATTATGTCAGTATAATAAGAAACGTTGACGCAAGTGTAAATACATATAGGACAACTACAAGTGTCTGTAAAATGCTTGAAATCATTTAAGAATGCAAGAAAGAAATTCAACACCTTGTTCTAAAGCACGTCAGAATAATGTTTGGACAATTTTTAAATCATAGCGTAAATATGATTCTTTAAAACTACTAGTAATTCTAAACTAATTTTTTGTCAATTCGTCAAGTTTATTCCGTTTGTATGAAACTATACTTCTGCAGGAATCAATTTATTCTCTCAAAATTGTGTAAATGATACATGAAATATATATACATGTATAAAAACATATACAGTGTACATATAATACAGTGGAAAAAGCAATTAAGCTAGTCAAAGGAGAACAGAACATACTATTAATTTTAGTAATAAATGTACTTAACCCCCCCCCCCCCCCAAAAAAAAAAGGATTAAATTGAATCTTTTTGGCACATGAATTCACAGTTTGAATTCCTAGTTTTTGGGTTAGAAAAAAATGATTTAGAAATCCTCCTCAGTTGGTTTAATTTAAGCATTACATTCTAAACTAAAGGTTCTGTGAGTATTCACCTCACCTCACCATCACCTATGCCTTGTCTTACGTGGATGTCTTTGGGGCACCTTTGAAGACTTATCCACCACTGTCATCCATAATTCTCTATTTTCTGTCGCTCTATGGGATTCTGCAAGGCTCAGTCCAGTCCACCCAGGGATGTTATCTTCCCACCTCTTCTTTTGTCTTCCCCATCTTCGTCCTCCTTTCACTGTACCTTGCAGGATAGTCTTTGCAGGGCTACAGGGAAACGTGGCCATACAACCTTACATCTTGACGACAGTGAGAAGGTCTTCGTGAGGTCCTATAGCTTCTGTGGACCTCTGCATTAGTCACATGATCAGTGTAATTGATGCCTAGTATTTTCCTATAGCATCTCATCTCGGTGCTCAAAATCACCTTCTCTAACTCAGCAGTGAGAGTCCAGGTTTCACAGGCATATAGGAAGACCAACATAGCAAGGGAAAGCATTAGCTAAATTTTCAAGCGCAGAGTGATATTTCTGTCTCTTTAGATGGTTTGTAATTTCGCTAATGCTGTAGTTGTTTGTGCAATTCTTGCTATAATCACTGGTTTTGGAAGCTTCGTCTGATATGATGGATCTGAGGTACTTGAATGTCTTCACTGTTTCCAGACATGTTCCGCAGACCTTGACTTTTGAGGTGATCCTTGAGTGTTTTCACTGTTTCCAGACATGTTCCGCATACCTTGACTTTTGAGGTGATCCTTGAGTGTTGTTGGTCATCAACTTTGTTTTTTCTGCACTTATCTCCTTACCATAGACAGAAGCTGCTTGGTCAAAGCTGGTTAGCCCAGTCTATTTCTCTGCAAGGCCATCTATGTCATCAGCGAATCGCAGATTTGTGACAGTTCTTCCTGGAGACTGTGCCTTTGTGATCATCGAAAGCATCTTCCATAACCCTTTCAAGAAAAATGTTAAACAGGGTGGGAGAAAGCAGACAGCGTTGGCGTACTACTGTACTCAACTCAATAAATGATACCCTTTCCCTCGCCTTCCATATGATTATAATGACAAAGTCCATGTTTGGCTTTGGGAGACTTAAAATAAGTGTCATACTGTATAGGGGGAAAATAACTCGCGGTGTTAATATTCGCAATATTGACAGTGTTGATAAATCTGTGAATAATCAAGAAACAGGGAATAAATTTTCAAAATTTTGTTTTATTTGGAAATTTGAGAATAGACTACGATAGATTTATATACATGTACACTCAGTACAAGGTCATTTCAGTAATTATGAGTAGTACCGTACTTGTTATATAATTATTTTAATTATCACGCTTTCATTTAATTCAAAATAATGGCAGATAATAACCTGTATTTGTTAAAAAGCTGTTTTAATGGTCAACACTACATCTTTCTTCAATCAAAACACGTGGGCCATGGGTTTTGATTACCCGTGCGTAAAGTGTTACCATGTGTATTTGTTACCTGCATTAATTATAGTGCATATTAGTTTTTATCGACATTTTGGTTTTAAAAAATCATTCAGATAACTATCGAACTTACTGAAGATGCGGAAGGATATTTTTCGTCGTCCTGTTTTAACACATTTATTACCCAGTGGTTTTTCGCCGCGTTGTGTTGAAGATATTGTGGTGTACATGCACTCATCGAAATAGCATATAGGAAAGTGATATGACGTTTTTTCGTCAAGGACTTTTGATAACTGCACTTGTTTCAATTAATTGTCAATTATTTATTAAATCTAACAATTTTATATTAATCTACCCTGTTGTTCGTGAGATAAAGACATAACGCTGATTAATGTCGTGTAGCTATGGTATGGATATAACGGATATAGACAAGGGAGATAACTTTTATTATAAACCAATTCCGCGAATTCAAGAAACCGCGATCGTGTCAGATGAGAGAAAAACGTGAAAATTACAACCCGTGAAATCAATCCCCTATACAGTATCAAAAAAGTAAAATAGGGGTTCACAATGGCATTATGCAAAAATCTGTGAAAGTAACGTTTAATTTTATTCAGTGGTATAGAAGGAGTTGCGGATTAGAGATGGGTACCATTCAGTATTACAGAAGGAATGACAGTGTCCATGTTTTCTTATAGGAAAACCAAAATATGTGTAGGACCAAAAGGTAAAATAGGAGGTGCACAAGTCGAAGTATCGTTAATTAATTAACAATGGTTAATTTCATTCTTACATCGACTCGCTACTAGTATATCTAGGTGAGATTGAAATAAAAGACCATAGAGTCGGGCACATCTGTTTCATATGAATCATATCTAGATATTTTACTTGAAAAGAAGTTAATAGTAATTTAACAACCAAGCATTAGGATAAACCTAATGACTTTAAGTTTTCAATCGTTAACTTCCCTTACTCATGCAGCAATATATCTTCATCACCTGCATAAAAGGGCTTATATCTCTCAGTTAATTTGATACGCAAGAGCACGATCAACGTATGGACAATTTCTAAAACGAGTTGATGAAACAAGAATATCAGCAGTCTAGTTTCAAATCATAATTTCGTAAGTTTGTCGGCAAATACAATTTATCATTGAGTCAAATGCTGGCTGACGTTTTTCACATTAATTGTTAGTCCATTATTTATACACTGAATTGACAACGGATTTCTCCGTTATTTCCCGATCATGACAATGGAGCACAAGGCGGGTGTGACCGGTAGGCAGGGGATGCTCACTCCTCCATGGCACCTGATCCCACCTCATATATTTTGGAGGTCGCTCTGCTCCCATTTTGTATTGTTTTATGGACTTTTGATCTTGAATACTGTTCTTTATCTCCATATGTTTCACTCCATATATTTCAATAATACATTGATGTAAGGATATGTATAATTCATTTTTTCGGAAAAAATTCTAATCATTCAAAGAAAAATGTATCTTAAACAATTTAACTCGATTTAACAATTTCCTCCTAGACATCTGATTTCACCTCTCAAATTTCCGGGGTTTGCTTTGCCCTGATTACAGATTTGTACTGTATGTTAAGGTTTTTTTTAATAGATCACTGTTCATTATTGTCACCTTTTTCATCAAATTTATTCAACTGCTTGCTTTCGAATGAAAAGGATATGTTTGTGGATCCGTCACATATTATTTTTAATATTTTTCAGTCAAACAAGCAAATTCTAGATGTTCCTTTTAGTTAATTTCAGTATAATAACCATATTCTGTTTTCTAAAGGATCAAAAAGGCATACCAATTAAGCGATCAAGACTTTGTCAAAAAAATTACAATTTACAAAAAATTCCCAGTTTGCCGTTTTATGCATTATTCATTTAATATATTCCTTGATAAATTACAGTGTTGGTAATTACAGTAATCTACTCATCAGAAAACGCCGGGCTGTAGCAAATAAACATGAATATTCCAATCAAGCCTATTGTCATTGTATGAAGAGAATCGAAAATTGTGACCCCAGTCACAGACACAAGCAAGTCTAAAAGCCAGGATAACCACACCAAAAAGGCAACGACTAAAAAGGATTTTACCCACTTCAGCTCTGGGCAGGGCATAAAAGTGACAATTCCACCAACTTTAAAATAAATCCAAATGAAGGACACAAAGTCAACAAGGAGAGAAATACTGACAGGCAAACCAAGAGTAACCGCATTCATCATGGACGAGGAAATTTCACAAGCGGAAGTCGAGTAGCCAAGCAAAGAATCGTCTGCATCGAGGTTTGGAAAAGTATTGGAAACAACAAAAAGACAACAAAGTGCAAGGTTTATGGCAGCATAAGCAGCAAATCGAATTGGTCTGTGTTGTTCTCTAATTCCAGATTTTGTTAAGGTCAAGATGGAGCGTGTCAGATCAATACAGGCAATGCTGGACCAGACGGAGACAGAGAGAAAAAGAAAATGTATGATCATTCCAAGAACCCCACAAACCTGCTCACCAAGAAAGACTAGTCGAATCAGAATTCTAATGAAATTCATGATGAAATAAGTCAGAGACTGACCCATTTGAGAGAGAGCAAAAGAGGACCAGTTTTGGTTTAGAAACACGGTAGATATCACGTGAAACAAGCATGCTAGCAAAGCAAGAAGTATACAGACAATGAAGGAGTAAAGACCGTCTGCTTCAGAGGTTACACCGGTGTATGTGCTCCTTACGGCCTGTAAGTACTGGTCAATACATACTCCGAAATATTGGCCATCATCCGAAACCCTTACGTAAGAATTGTTAATACAGGCATCGTATTCGTTGAAGCAGAATGAGAGCGTTTCATGTAAAAGGTACATCCTGGAACGTTCAACGAGTACTCTCGGACAGGTCTGCCAAGGAGCTAAAGCAAAAGTCAGAGAGGGGGATCTTGAACACTGCAGACACTTCTTACTTGGGTAATGCATAGATGATATAGAGTTAACAAATTCAGGACCATTGATAAATATTGAAAAATTGGGATGAATTGATGTGTATAGATTGTTTACAAGCCCTCTATGGAAGGGCCGTGTCCTATGTATCTTATATAATCGTTCCATCATAGAGAGAATCTGATGTCGATGCATCACTTTGTACCATATTGAAACTGTTTCACAGTGTGGCCATTTACTGGTAAGTATCGGCAAGCCCGTTAATTCTTCATACGTTTGACATATATGTTCCAGGTCATACTGTATTAGGTTCAATACGACTTTCCGAGATAATTCGCCGTGAAAGCAGAAAAAGCTGTTCAATATGTAGGTGGCCTCGCTAACTTCGTTTACCACAGGTTGGCACTTTGGTCCAGTGAGTACAAAACCACTCTCACAGATGATCTGAAGACAGGATTTCTGAAAAGAGTTTGATACATTCTTGAGATGGTTTATTTTAACAGTTGATTTCTGTCTTATATACAAGTCACTATCTCGTGTATTTGTAAAACTAGTAGGGAAATATACCACAAATTAATCAGTCCAATTAGAGATTTAAAAATAACAGAGATTTGTTTTATGGAACTGAACTTGTTTTATATATAAGCAGGCACGTACTAGTGTATAATTAGTATATAGTTCGGTATCTCCATGTTTCATATAGGACCCTGATATTACCATTGAATGATTGTATGTTGTTTTACATCACATTCGAGTATAATATTTCATATTAAATATAGAGACGTATATTGGTGAAGGGCTTCAAAGTTTGACCTTTACTCGGCACTCATGACCTCCCGATCACGATAGAATAATTAAAAAGCAATACAAATATTTTTATGACCTCATTATCGAAGATACACAGTATATAGTTTTTGTCCTGTTAATCTGATTGCCTGATGGTCCGCGGAAACTTTAACCCTGTCCATAACTTTTGACATGCTAGGGCTATGGCTTTCATATTTCACATGTGTATTTAATTATTGTGACAAAATCTTTCAAATGGTAATAGTTTAGACCCACTTCGTAAAAAACTTTAATCTGGCCAAAACTTTTTAACAGTCTGTACTAGGACTTTCATATTTTACAGGTGAATTCCTTGTGAAAAGACCTTCCTTTTGATACCAACATTTATGACCTTTTGACTTTGAAGTTTGACTTGCCATAAACTGTCGTACGGGGGCATCAATATTTCACAAACACACCTAGCTTGTTCAAAGAGAAGTCGATTTGGTTACAATTACTCAGTAAGGAAATGCATGATTACCGATTATTTATGATCACATGTTAGTCTATAACAAAGGTTAACTTTCTACAATTTTCTCATCCCTTTAAAATTTAAATTCAACTCGATATGAGAATGCCTTCATGTGTCCTAATTTGGCAATTTTACCTTTTAAGTTAAGCTCAAATGAGTTAAACAGCAACATGATTATAAAAAAATTTTTAAATACTCATGAAATCATGAAAAATAAAAAAAATATATACCTTCTTAGGATCGTAAATCTCCCCTGAACCACAGTTTGGACCGTGTTTATGACCTAGGAGTTGAGAACTTGGTCCAGAGTACCTCAGGATTACCGAAGTATCGTTGGGAATCTGGATGATTTGAGAGATGGTCTTTGGACAGTAATAGCTCAGAGAACGGTACGGATCCCTCTGGTTACAGATGGCACAGTAAACGTTCTTGTAAAGGTCAGTACAATCTGTAAAAATGGATATCAAATTGGTGTCTTCGCATGCTTCTCTGGTGACCTGATCATAAGCGGTCCACAGACCTGATACATTGCACGAGGATATGTAATCAGTAAAGCAGGTCTCGGTGTGGTTTTTGAATGAGTCTGGTGGCAAAAAGACAACACCTACATCGATGTTGCTTGACGCCATCAACTCGAAGAGTTTTTCTTCCGTCTCTCTTACGTCTAGGATGCTCTTTTGTACATCAGTTTCGACGAACATTTTCCAGCGGATGATAGCATTTCTATTTTCGCCGTGACATAAAGCACAGAAGACATTCTTGTAAGTTTCATTGGTAGCAGCCGATGTTACTGGCCTGTAAAATGACACGTCTCTGTTTGAAGTCAAGGAAACATTCTGAGTACAATTATTCAAAATGTCCTTGTTGGGATAGCTTGGAGGACATGTGGCGATCATCCAGTACATATTTCCTCCTGTTTCATTATAGCTGAATCCAGGAGCTTTGAATTCTGTTTGAGTGCAGATTAGTTGATCATTTACCTTTATGGAATCGTTGGTATTGTTTAAATGAACTACAGAAGGGCAGCAATTGGACTTCCGGTAGCAATCCTCTCTACAACTGCATTCTGAACACGCCATTTTCTGGGTTGTAGTAACACTCACAATATTTATCATCTCCGGCCCAAGGCACACGTCTTGATTAGGACAAAATAACATGTAATCTCTAATCAATTGCCGAATTCGGTCATCCTGAATCCAGACAGTTTTGTTGTCCGCCATGTTGATCGTATGGTTTGTAGCAGTACAAGTAATTACCCGACCCATGATCTGGCAAATAAAGAAATGTATTCTGGAGAGACAAAAAAAATCAACTACTTCAGAGACAACTATTTCAGCGATATTTTTGAAAGAAACATTATTGCAATATATCATTGCAGGCAATGGCGCGGTTTTAATCCGTTCCCAATGATAATAACTTTATATTCGTTCCTCCTTCTTCAAAAGTCTTGTGTTTGTACAAATGAGAATGGATCAAAATTCATGAATTAGATGTATTCCGGTTTGATACTTGTCTGGTACATGTAAAGGCATTTTTGCTCAAGTAGACAGTGAACAAATTTACTTGTCACATGACTACACGTTTCAACTTTTACTACTAAATGAAACATATGGAGATAATTCGAACAGTATTCAAGATCAAAAGTCCATAAAATAATACAAAATAGGAACAGAGCAAACACGGATCTCAAAACATCAGAGGTGGGATCAGGTGCCATGGAGGAGTGAGCATCCCCTGCCGACTGATACCACCCGCCGTGTGCTCCTTGTCATGATCGGGAAATAACGGAAAAAACCGTCGTCAATTCAGTGTATAAATAATGGACTATCAATTAGTATGAAAATCATCAGTCAGTATTTGACTCAATGATAAATTGTATTTGCTGAAAAGGTCATTGTATCGACTATAGAACTTACAAAATGATGACTTTAATCGAGACTGCTGATAATCTTGTTTCATCAACTTGTTTGTCAATAATTTACCCCGTTTTAGAAAATGTTCATACGTAGAGCATGCTCTTTGGTATCGAAGCAACTGAGATACATAAACTCCGTATGCAGGTGATGAAGGTATATTGCGCATAAGTAAGGGAAATTGAAAATAGAAAAGTTAAAGCCATCACGTTTATCATAGAGCTTGTTTGTTAGATTACCATTAACGTTTTTTTTATACAATATTATAAGTTAAATATCCAAATATGAAATAGATATGTCAGACTCTCTGGCATCTTTTATGTCAAGCTCACCAGGATATTTCGTATACATAAGAATAATTGAAAAAAATCGATTAGGTAAGATTTTGCACAATAGAAAATTATATTACAGATATATGAGAAAATAATAGATTTGTGTAAAAATTGAGATGGAACTGTTCATGTCCATAGAAAATTGAACTTGTATATCTTTTCTAAAGGAAATCTCGAGATTCCCTCATTAGAATAGCTATATTAATTAACATAATTATACTCACCATTACCAAAAGAACAAGGTTACTCATTATCCTTAGGTTCTGGCTGTTCGGATTTCTCTATATCGTCTCTAACAGGTGCTCGGTCTATCTGTTTCCCTATCTCCAAAGAAATTACAGTCTAGCCAATTTAAGTCGATATCATTATTTGTATTTTCCTCTCGAATTATATAGATTCTCAGGGAAATTCTACATGACCAAATCCGTAATAAGAACATTAAATAATGCGTCTTCCTAATATCCAAATGTGGTAATTGTCAGCAAGCTTTTAATTTCAGTCAGGACTTTGAACGGCAGGTGAAAGCCTTTTTTTTAAAAAAAATATTCAGTCAGGACTTTGAACGGCAGGTGAAAGCCTTCTTTCAAAAAATAAATAAATAAATGAATACTAGTAAATACAATTACATGTTAGAGACCTAAGGACCTTAATGGTCATCTGAGTATAATGTAACGATTCTTGGCTTGTTCGGGGAAAAACGGAAAAATCCGTGGACAATTCAGTATATAAATAATGGTCTAACAATCAGTATGGAAAAAGTCAGTCAGCATTTGACTTAATAACAAATTGTATTTTCTGACAGATCATTGTCTCGACAATAGAACTTACAAAATAATGACTTTAAACGAGACTGCTGAATTCTTGCTTCATCAACTTGTTTGTCAATAACTTACCTCATTTTAGAAATTGTTCATACGTAGAGCATAGAACGTACGAAATAATAATTTTAAAAGACTGCTGAATTCTTGCTTCATCAACTTGTTTGTCAATAACTTACTTCATTTTAGAAATTGTTCATACGAAGAGCATGCTCTTCTGTATCAAATCAACTGAGAGATATGTAACTCTGAATGCAGGTGACAAAGGTATGTTGCAACATAAGGTATATGTTGCATGCTAAGTAAGGGAAGTTGAAGATTGAAAAAATAAAGTCATCATGTTTATTATAAAGCTTTGTTGTTAGAATACCATTAACGTCTCTGTCTAGGAATAGATCCAAATATGAAACAGATATGTCAGATTCTATGGTATCTTTAATTTCAAGATCACTGGGGTATGAGTCAACATAAGAAAGGAAATAACTATTGTTATTTCACAATACAACATCGATATATCAAGCCCACAAAAAGTTTTTCCTTCTTTTCAGGTAAAATATTTTGAACAAATTCTGCTTCATATGAATATAAAAAAGGTCTGCTAATAACAAAGCCCAATTGGTAACCATGGAAATTCCAATAGATTGTTGGAAGATCTGGTCTCCAAAACCCACATGGATATTGTCAATTAGAAATTCCAGCATCTTTTTTAATACAGTAAAACTCGGTTATAGCGAAGTCCTTGGGACCTGTGAATTGAATTCGTTATATCCGTAATTCGTTATAACCGTATAACGAATTCGTATAATCATTATAGCGAATTCGCAATATGCATGTTTTCCTTCAAGTATTACTACCAAATATGTCAGGGAAGCAAGTATGACAAAACATATCTACGATAACTTAGGTTTTATTATGAATTGAATTTTATATACAAATGCTAAAAGAAAATAAAGTCAGTTCACTTTATCAAATTTTTTTTTTATAATCTTTGAAAGTTCGTTGTAAAAGATGTAAATTTTATTATATTTAACCTCAACGGGACTCAAAATCAGTTCGCTATATCCGTTAATTCGTTATATCAGAGTTCGTTATAACCGTAAAAATTTACAAAGGTTTGTTAAGAATTTTGCCGGGGACCCAGAAAAACTTCGCTATATCCGTGAATTCGCTATATCCGTGTTCGTACAAAACGAGTTCTACTGTATCAACTTCAGAGTACCTGTATGTACCATTAGATTCTTTTAAAATAAATTAATTTTGCACATGACCAATGAAAAGGTTTAGGAGCTACACATACAAGTTTGAGAAGTACACATTTTCACCCCCGTGTACTGATGAATCCACACGTTGTGTAAAAATTGTAGACCTATGCGGTATGCAAAACTGATGACATAAATCACAGTAAATTAAGGGATTTCCCTAGGCACATAGAGATGTACAAGATCATCTGCTTAACCTCTCTGTTTGCTGATCTATTGAGGGGTGACAACAGGTTTTTATTTATAAAATATTGCAACATTCCAAAAGAACACAACAAATCAGGGGCCAAAAAGGGATCTTAGCCTATGTTGTCCTTTACTGTACAAACGAACTCCATACATTGACTTTTGGTGGAAATAAATAGCTCAACTTTATTACTACAGTTAAAAATTTATGTTAATATTTTTAATTTGAGCTCATATCATATTTATTATCTTAGTATAAATGTCACTCTAAACTGGTGAACAAACTTTCTTGCAGTTAACAGGAGCTTCGTTAATTCGCTGTAAACCACCCATTATCTTTCCGTAAAATTTGACAATCCTTCCACAAACTCACCATGACTGTGGAATTTACGAACGCTTTGTGAATAAGGTCTCTGAAGTTTTAACAGAATCTTAAATTCTCTCCTAACTCAAGAAAAGAGTACAAAAACTGGTTATCAATTTAATCATAATGAAACAAAAGAAAAAAATAGACAAAAGTAATATAGCTCAATAATGAACTTATATTTTACAGTTAAGTTTTATTATTAAATATTGCACTAACACCATTTTCCTGATGACACCTTAGTCTTTGGTCTTTGTTGTCTTAGACTCTATACTGGTCAGTACTTCATCCCAGTGGACA